TTAAAATTTTCTTTCCCCATTTGTCACAACCCAAAATCTCAACCAGTCGGAATCGTAATGGCATCTAACACCACTTGCTAGGCAAGCCAACACACAATAGATAATACGAAAGAATAGCAATTCACAACTAACAGCAAGATAACAATGTAAAGTAAAAGTAGCTCAATAGAGGAACATAATAAGTCTAGTACCAATATCTAACGCAAACCATCCCAAAATGTGGAGTCACAAGTACACGAGCTTCTAGATTTTGTTACATACACTGTTTTGAAAGAAATACAACATGGTCCAAAAATAAAAATAAGAATATGACTCAAGGCATGCGAACGGAATGCAACTCTACCTCGAATTACCTGCCCGGTATCTTCTAAGCACCTCTCAGACTTTGTTGGTACCGATATCCGTATCTGTACAAGAAGTACAGAAGTATAGTATGAGTACAACCAACCCATTGTTCTCAGTAAGTGTCGCGTCTAACTCTGAAAAGGTAGTGACGAGGGTAAGAAAATACGCCTATAATAAATATGTGCAATTATATATCAAGAAGTAATGAAATAACAGATAGAGTATCAAATACAACAACGGAATAATGACAAGTGAAAGGAATAACAAGTACACAAGTAAAGGGGCATAAAATGGAAACATATAGTAAGGTTTCACTAAGTAAGCCTCTTTCAAAAATAATAACGAAACCATAAAGTCACGTCCACATTCTAAATAACAAAGTAAAGAGCAATGAAATTAATAAAATTGTACGGCATCACCCTTCGTGGTTTTACTCACACCTCACATAATAATGTAAAACAAACACGAAAATACCCTTCATACATATCATCACGTTCACTCAAACAATAATATCAATATATAAATAAGGCATGGAAACACCCTTTCGTGCACAATCACTCTTCCTTACACGCAAGATAACACCTTGGCCACCATGAAGTGGGGAATGGACATCGTCGTCCCTCTTCCATGAGCACCCGGTAAGGATCAATTTATATTATTTATGACTGACTATTTTTCTAAGTGGGTTGAAGCCCAGGCGTATGAGAAGGTCAGGGAGAAGGAAGCCATCGACTTCTTTTGGGACCACATTATATGTCGGTTCAGCAGCAAAATGGCCAAGTTTCTCGAGGATCATAAGATCAAAAAGATCCTATCAATACCTTATCACCCTAGTGGGAACGAACAAGCCGAATTGACCAACAAAACCATACTCCAAAACCTAAAAAAGAGGTTAACCGATACCAAAGGAAAATGGAAGGAAATCCTACCTGAAGTCTTATAGGCATACCGTACGACCTCAAAGTCCAGTACCGGGGCCACCCCGTTCTCGTTGGTTTACGACGCCGAAGCTCTAATACCAGTCGAGGTTGGTGAACCAAGTATCAGATTCTGATATGCTGCCAAGGAATCGAACGATGAGGCCATGAACACGAGCCTAGAGCTATTATATGAAAGGCGCGAGGCCGCCCTTGTCCGGTTGACCGCTCAAAAACAACGAATCAAAAGGTATTGCAATTGAAGGGTCAACCTTTGATACTTCAATATTGGGGACTTAGTACTAAGAAAGGTCACACTAAATACCGGGAACCCGAACAAAGGGAAGTTGGGGCTGAACGACCAAACAAACCATGCCCGTATAGATTGCTCGAGCCCTAGCACAAAGCATGTATAACTATTTAACACAATAGTAAAAAGAAGCCTCTCCTTTGCGGATAAATATTTTGTCATTTTAAAAAATTTTCTTGCATTTTTCAAGTAATTTCTTACATCTGATCCCCTAAAGATATCGAGCCCAAGGTCCACCTTTATCTGAGTTCGAACAATCATTCTCACTCGGGGACTACCATCCGAAAACAAACTCGAATAGTTCGGGCCATCGGAGCTCGGGGGCATAAAACCTATCAGGCAATGCCCGAATCTTAAAGGCCACGGCCATCCCCACTCGGGGACTGTTATCCTAGGCAAGCCTGGATAACTCGGGGCGACCAGCCCACTGGACAACACCCAAACTAAAAAGGGCATGGCCAAATTAAAATGGCTTGGAGATGTCTGAGGACCTGTAACAAAAACAACAAGGCCTTAAAAATTCTAAACTGGTTCTAAAGGCTACCCTCGACAGACTGTGACATAAAAAATAGTCTAAGTACTTGGGGGAAAGAAAACTTTCGGTCACACCGAACCCCCATGATGCCTTAAAATGAAATAAAGTTAAAGGCAAAGTTTCTTCAAAGTTTCTGAACAAAACCTAACTATTTCATGCTAAGGCATTTAGATATTTGCAAATAAAAGTATATAAGGCAAAGTGAAAATTGAAAGTTGTTAAAGGGAAAGCCGTATATTCACAATCAAAGTTCTTTTTACAGCCCGATGAAATTTTTTACAAAGGCCGAACTGCTTCAACAAAAATACAAAAAATAAAAACATTTAAAAGCCTAAGTGGCCTAGTCTTCATCGGGGGCAACATCGTCACCCTCGGGATCTTCGTCATCCTTGGAGACTCTCAAGTCTTTGGGCTCCTCGTCGTCTTCAGGATAGGCCAATTTTTTGGATTTGGCTTCAAGTTCATTGGCGCTCTCAATCTCAGCTGATAAATCAAAACCCTAAGCATGAATTTCCTCAAGGGCCTCCCTTTGAGATTGCCACTTAGCGTGCTCGATGATGTCTTTTGATCAAAACTGATCCGCCTTGGCATCAGCCTTATAAATGACCACCATCTCATTGGCACTGGCCTTAATTACTTTGGCCTCCGACTTGGCCGCTTCAAGCTCCGTGGCTAGATTTTCTCGATCAGAGACGACCGAATTCAACTGGGATTGGAGCTCCTCGATCATCTTGGCCTGCACCAAGGACTTCTCATTTATACCTCGGAGCTGGACCTCAGTCGAAGCTAGTTGGGCTTGGGCGGTCTATTTTTTTTAGGCCAAGCGGTCCATGTTATTTTTCCATTCTTCGGCCTCAACCTTTACCGTATCTACCTCTTCCTGGAGCTGTTTGATCTGGTCAAGCTTTTGTTGGACCTGCGGGTTCGGAGCGTTAGTCACCATGTTTGATTCGTCGTCACTAACTTCAAAAACTCTTCTTAACTGCTCAACCAGGTCGGCATGCCCTTTCCGATCCACCTCTAACTCAGCCTGGAGGCTCTTAGCCTCCCATTCTCTTTGCTCACCGAGAAGTTTGTAAGTATCTCTTTTCTCAATGAGCCATCAGATCTCGGCCTCGTACTGGTCCAACTCTTCCCGATGGCGGAGGAATGTCTCGTGGTAGAGTATCGAGGCCTACAAATATAGATAAAGGAGTTATGATCACCTACAGACTAATCTAAGTATAAACTAGAAATTATTTAGAAGTATCCGGAGTTACCTGATTTAATGCCCGTTGAGTTTCATTGAACATTCAAGGTGCTTCTACCTCATTCATTTTGGCTTGTTCCTCCTCTGTCACCAAGCATCAGAAATAACTAGCTACCCCTATAGGGGCATAAAGGACCCAAACGTCTTCCGGGATAGACATAACAATCGATCGCTTATGTTCAGGATTCGCACTCGGAGCTGGGAACCGATTGAATAG